ACTAGCGCCACCCCAACTTCTGCCATTTCTTGGACAAATTTTGTCAATTTTCCCGTATGAGTTCGTGCTCCTTATCTAGTCTCCATGCACCTGATGACGATAGCGACAACCGTGTTGATGATGACGAGTAACTTATATTTACCGATCACTAAAAGTTTACGTTGTAAACTTTTTCCAGGAAAGGGGGGTGCTGTTGCGGGCTTATTTTTTTGGTTTTCTCTTTTCTTCTCTCATTAATTGAATTCAGAGATTTATCGTTAGCTGATGAATTAAAAAAAAAGAATTCGAATATTTCAACTACGGCTGTTGCTAACATTAGATTAAATTTTTAATTAATTAAAGGCTTATTCGCGTAAATATACGAAAAATATTAAAACAATAGGTTTTATTGATTTCGAATTAAACGCGGTTTACCGGCAATCGGTCTTTTCTTGCGACTCTTTTCTGCTAAACCTTTCCGTGGCCGATTCGTGTTAGCGCTTGGGCGAGGAGAACGTCGTTTTAAGTATTCTGCAGCGTGTGCTCTAGGCACGATAAAATTATCACAAATTGTGTGTGTATTTAGCTGCTTCTGTGTGCACATTTTGATGAGATTTATAAATTCTGGTAGTTCCAGTATCAACCCGGTGGTTGGATTTCTGCCCATTAGACTTAAGACGTAAAACACGTACATTTTTTTCCACGAGACCGCCCTACAACCAAGGTAAGGTTTTGCCTTATTTTTTTTAACGCTATATTTCTACAGCACCTACTTAGACGCATTTATCTTTTTAGGCTTTTTTTTTGTGACTGTGCATTTTGTCTCCAGAATTCTTATAATCCTTTGATTTCAATTTGACCAATATAAATACCTGCCAATGTGGATTCCGTTTTAGAGGGAGACTTGCCCTAGTTACTGACTAGCCTCCGACAGTTTTTTCTGGTTTCGAGGGCCTACCACTTGTGTAAGATTTCTTCCCCGTGGCTGCTTCGATAGATGCTCTGGTAGAGGCTCCCACAGGTTCCTGCATGGTCCTTATCTGCTGCGTTAAGTAACACCATCAATGCAACCTGCCGCTAGTGCTGCACAAACCAGATAAGCATAATTTTAAGTTTGCATGCCGCTTCGTAGTACTACTCAATTAAACCCACTTATTGCGTCATAACTTCACTTTACTAGCTCTCGCCCCATTTGCTCTTTGTTTTCCGCGATTTTATTATTTTAGTTTGCTACTGTAATAATTATTTATTAGCTCATTTAATTTTGTTTTAAATTTATCTACCGTAGTACTTACCTGACAGTTGGTAGTCGTTAATTATTAGTTACTTTATTTTATTATTAGGTATTACTCACCCGCATATAAAGGTTATTTAGACAAAATTATTGGTTTTACCTTATGTAGTATTTGTACTTGTGTAGTATTCCTGCTTTGCTTACTATTGAATGATTTACTAGTTAACGTATTAATTAGTAGTGCATATTTGCCTTATTTTCCAAGTTTGCTTAGACTTTCATTGTTGTTTTGATTGAGACTTAAGTAGTAGTTATAAACCTTTTTGTATTTTTTTTGCTAGGACTGAATAGTACCCACAATTTAAGTAGAGACTAGATATTTCTTTAAAGTATTCAACAACGTCAACATTATAAAAACTATGTGAAGATATACCTGTTGCCTATTTTACTTTGCAATTTATTATTCTAAGCTTGTACCTGCACACCGAACCATAGCGCTATTGGGGAGGGTTATAGTTATACTTATATTTATTTCCTCATTCTACCCTGCTTAGGCATTATTTTGTCTTCACATACTAATATTTAGATTGTACAACAAAGATACAACTAGGCGAATATCTAACGCTCTACAACCTTATTGTCAATCGTCAACTGATTGTACATCAAATATGTTACACTCTGAAAGTTAATAGATTACAGTTGTCGTTTTAATGGTGTATATATTATTGGAGCTCTTATTGGTACCTTTTTCCCGTTTCTTTTGTAACCACATTTAAGGTATTAACATCAGTGGCTCCTCTCCAGCTTTCCTGGATACTGACCATCGGGTTGTAAAACGGATGGCGCCTTTATAATAGTTTTAACTGATATCAACCCACTCCTATATCTGCTGAGCTAGGGCCAACCCTATAGCTGGAGAAGAGAACTGACAGTTCTTTTAATTATAAAACCACCCGACCCGTCTCAAATGGATGAGTAATGAATAGATTTATTTATACCTCTACTTTTTACGCGAATAGAAAATTGTAAGCACTATAGATTTTGTGTTTTGTACAATATTTAATTGTCATACATAAGAATTTACAAAAAACTAAAAATTCCTACATTTGAGTTTCTATAATATTATGAGTGAGTATGTTTTATTATTGTTTTTAAAAATCATATCAGGATAAAAGGTAGACTAGTTTTATGTTATTTATAACAAGTGACAAAAAATAATCTATTATGTGGTAAATCTGTTCTTTTACTTATTAACACAGTATCCCGATAACTATATTGGTATTATTTATAATGTTGTTATTGTAACTTTAAAAATGTGAAACATGTACTAGAGTGCAAAGTGGAAATCTTCCATTGTATATGTTCAAATTTAGATCTGTTCAAACTAATAATGAACAATAAAGAATAATTAAAAAATTAATGAAACGTAATCTTATTTTAATAAGAGTGTAAAAATATGCATGTACACATCTCTCTGAAATAGACGAAAATTGTTATTGAGGCATATGCAGATTTTAAAAAATATAAACTTTTGCTGAACAATTATTTATATTTTCACTTTAACAATTTCCATTTTGATTTACTATAAAAAGCAAAGAGGTCTTTCAACAGGAAAATACTTTTCTCTATGCTGCTAACAAATATTGAGCATATTTTTCAAATTATATAATGAAGAGATGCCACCTCGGCCGAGTGTCTCTTAGTGATTAAAGGAAATTATCATTTTGTAGGAAACCCTTTATAAGGACTAATGTTATCAGAAATATCTAAGACAACTACAACTTTAATTATTTTCTAAAATCCAACAAATTTAAAAGGGAATGACATTTACAATCAATAACCCTGAACATAAATAAACTCATCATCTTTTACCCTTCCAATATGATCATTGACCAATGAATTATTGCATTACACAGCAGTACCTATACAAAATTTATTTTCATTTTTATCTACATTACATAATGTAATTTGCTTGCTTTCATGCATTCTTTTAGAATTTCAATAAATTACAAAGTAATAAATTATAAATCATATACCTCTAATATTTGTAACATCTCCTTATTGTAAAGCGCTGGCCCATATAACAGTGAAAATCACTTCCACAATCTAAAAGTGAAAGCAACTACTTAACATTCGAAGATTATTTGATACTTAAAACTACATGGATTAATATTTACAAGAATTATTCAGCTATACCTATCGATTTACTTTATAGCCCAAGGAAATTAGACGAAAAAGAAGAAAAGCTCGACAAAATTCTAAATTGAATTTTTGCAAATACTTCACGTTCCATGCATCAGACATCCATAAACATAACATGAGAGAATTTAGGTGATTATCTAAAAGATTGGTTCCTTGCCATTTTTCTCAAAACCTCGTCCTTTTCGAGACATTCAATGTCAAACAAGGTTTTTCGCGAATATCTTGCGCCAATTGCATATTCACTAAAACTGTATTCTTTGGAACGTTGATCTTGAATATCACGAAAAAGGCGAGTTTTGGGAAGAGACCAGTTTTGTAGACAATTGAATTATCTACAACTTATATTAACTTTATCGCTGTCCAATGTCATGGGCGCGAGATATTCGCGAAAAACCTTGTTTTTGAAATTTTGACCTAGAATATCTCGAAAAGGGTGAAGTTTCGGGAAAAAATGCAAGAGATCAATTTTGTAGATATTTAAATTCTCTACAACTTTCATCCTTATGGATGTGCGATGCATAGGATACGAAATATTTGCAAATAACTTTCATCTTCAGTATCTTGGATAGCCAAGCTGTGATTTTTGTAATTTTTGGGGATTTGAGTTTAGGACACCTCAAAGAACTTTTGCAATAATTTAGCTTGGAGGGAATTTTAACGAGGTCGAATGCTAATTTCCCTGTGCTGTTACCTATTAAGATCTTTCAAATATATTCTTATAATGTTAGCTTAGATATTTGTATATTTTTTCTGATGAATGTAAGTTTGTCAGACACTTTTTTTATCTATTCTACTTCATCTAATCTATCGTCTAAAATCACTAATAATGTTCATAATAAATAAATGAAAACAAAACGTATTTTTTTAGAAATAATATTAATAATAAAATTAATTTAAAAAAAAAACGTTATAAAAGCAAGCTATAAAACTAACTTTAGCTTCAAATTTATTTTCATACCTACTAATTATTCACACTAATTGTTATACAGTTATTAATTATACATGGTAATTTCTAATTTTCATTTCTAGACTGATGGCCGTTTACGCTATGACCACATTTGGAGCAGATCGGTTTCACCTCGATGCAGTTTTTGATTGTAGTCGAATTAATTTCGTGGTCCATAGACTTAGAGCGAGTGTGGCGCTGTGGAGTATCCAAGATATCCTCACTTGGACTATGGAAGTCCTGGTTATTCTCTAAAAGCAATTAAAAAAATCAGTTATTAAATAGAATGTACATATTGTTTGATCTCAAATAATTGCTCAGTTACTAGATATAGACTGACATTTGCTAATCGTCTGATGCTGACACTAAAGTTTTTATTTATACATCAAGTTCTCAAATAATTTTGCCATGTGCATAAAAATCCGTAGATATTAAGTAAAATTTCATATGCATAATCTTTTGATAGAACGTAGTGAAACACGGAACATTTTAATTTATATACATATAAGTTTGATTAAGTAGACGTCTCAAAACTTTACAGTGACAGTATCATTATTGTTATAATTTAATTTTGAAATTTTTATTATTTTTGCTGCTATTTTTTAATATATTTTTTTATTTTAAAATTCATTCGTCTAAACTCAGTCATATATAAAAAGATCCACTGAATATAAAACATGCTCAAAATAAATGTATACCTAATATTTTCTATCATCATTGTTTTCGTCGTCATTATGATTATATTCTAACTCATTTTCAACTAGCTACTCCTTAGCTGTTTTGTTATTTAATATCATACTGTCTACAAAATACTAAATCAACTAATAACGTCACAGACAATTTCAGTAACAATAGGCCCATTCAGTAGATTTTTTTTGCATATTAAAAGTTTACCCTTTAATTAGTTAGTATGCCAAAAATAATTTTTTTCTTTCAACGAGAAATGTGTGAAATAAATTAATGAAAACAGAGCGCGGAAAAACATTGAACAACCATTGCCTGACGTCATAATACCGGTACGGGCGATTGGCAGAGCACTCCGCTCGCGCTCGCACTCGCTCTCATCCCATTCTGTGTTGTTTTTATGTCTAAATGGGTCGAAACCGAGGATTGTACCAAAGTACTTCAGGATCAACTCCGAATAAAATATTTATTTCATTACCGAAAAATTAAAAGTTTGTTTGATGTATCCACGGTTTCCCCAGTCAAGGCATGCAACTCAAAACCACCTTAATTTTTCTTTGGTTGCACGTCTAGGGGGTTGTAAAATATTATTATTTGAACATTTAGAGCACAATTTTCAACTTTATGCCGGACAAAATATTCTATCCCATCTAAATGTTTGTGTTCACAAAAAATTCGAAATACGTCTGCGAGAGGGACCTCTCGCCGACGTATTTCGACCTACTTCTATCTGTAGAATACAGAATTACATAAAAACCATTTAAATTTAACAAATGTAACAAATATTTAGTTGTAAGTTTAAACAAATATGGTATGTTTTGCATGAGACTTGAAGTTTTTACTTTTATCATATGCAATACAAAATCCGCGCAGAGGCCTTTACTAGTTTTTATGCATAAGGGTCAATATCAAAGATTTACCTGAAGGGGAACTACTTTTATCCTCATTTTCATTAGAGTCTTCAAGAACTGGCAAATTGTGACTTTTATCGTTACCAGTTCGAATAACAGAAACAGGCTCGATTCCGTGAAACAAGTCCAGTCTAGAATCGAGAGAAAACTGTTTTCCAGACATTAAGATACCTCTAATTCTTCGGCGCATTGCTACAATATATTAAAACTATTAGCAAAATAGGAATTTACATTAACACATTTATTATTCAATTAAGCAAATACGCCTACACCAACCTGGACTATCTTGAGCATCTTTTCTTAGTTTTATGGTCCTGTAAAAGTCAGCAAGCACATCTCCTTGATCGTAAATAGCAGCAAATGAACCATTGACAATTTTTGGCGACATAGGTGAGTTGGAGAGCAAAAGACTTGATCCAAAGTTCTCGTTCTTTTCTCTAGTTTCTAAAAATATTTAGTAATAATATAATCATTAATAAGTTTTTTAATTTTTCATATTTAATAGGTAAATATTACTACTGATACTAACGGAACATGCAAGCTTTGCTTAGGACAATCAACCATGTCTAAATGCCTTGATAAGAAAAAAGAACGAGTTAGCCAGAGCAGAATCATTTATAGCCCTACAGAAGTCCGCTAGATTCCTGTACGTGTGTTATTAAGACCTTCATGCAGGAGCCCAAAAATAGTAACAACAAACCTCTGGAGAGAGTAAAGCTAAAATATTCTTAAAAGGACCGTCGAAGAGTTGACGGTGGACATTATGTTGCAAAGTTAATATCAGTAAGGATAGCAGTAGGACTGCTAACAAGATATTGCAGACTCAGGAAATATCTGCAAAAGAAAAACCGAAAACTTTTTAACTATGTGAAGGGTCCATTAGCTCCGAGGCCTAATTATAATATTAAAGGATAAAGAAGTCTAAAATCAAGAATGGTCGCAGTGGAAAAGGATGATGCATTAGCTCCATATGTTTACGATATACAGTCTACTAATTAAGCTTCTATGATTCACTTATTTAAATTATAATTTCAAATCACTGAGACACAATAAATTTAAAACATTCAGTAATCAACAATATTCAGTATCAACTGAAGTAATGCTAAGCAAAAAGAATCTATTATTATTAATCAGAATTTTGAAATTATGATTTTATTGCTGAAAAAATTTTACTAGCTCTACTAGAAACAAAGTATTACCTCCCAATGGCACTTTAACTCTAGAATATAGTTGATCCCGTTCATGTTGTAGTTCATCTGTAACCCTGACTATTTCCTTCCAGTCTGTAACGATGTCATCCAGCGTGGTTCTTGGAGAAGTGACAGTGAAGCGTATGACGTATTTGCCCTTCAGGCTAGCAGGAACGCAGTGGATCCTTCCTCTAGAATTCAACTTCTTGAAAAGAGTTTCCGTAATAACATTGTCTCCTACTAAGCGAAATACTACAAGGCCCAGGTATCTCTTAGCGGATATCTCAAAGCGGTGATCTCTCCTGATGAGTGATTCGAATTTTTCCGCTAGGTATACTCCCTAAAAATAAAAAATAACTTTAAAACAAAATTCCGGTCGGTACATAATGCCTTAAAATAAATGGGACACAGAACAATGTATGTGAGGTAGCAAATACACTGAAGTAAATGGGCTTATTAAACTGTTTATCTGGAATAATGTGTATATAGCGCATATTAAAACTTTTATAACCAATATACAACTTTTATTAAAAAAGAGCAATCATCTCCATACTCATTATTCAATCAGTTTAACTGGAAGGTGCTTAATACACCTTATGCATCTATGAAATAAAGGTTATAATGAATTACTTATACCTTATTAGGTGTTATAGACTTTATGTTCCAATTGTATAGTAGGGAAGATTTGTTGTATAAAGACCAGTATCCGAATTTGTATATAACAATTGTATTAACAGAATTATTCGTTCTTATACTGAATATGTTTCCGTTTTTAACGTGTAAAACGCATCTTATAATGGTTAAGTGATCGTCACCTCTCGGTGCATAATCGGTTATGATCGTTGTTAAGTTATATTCATAGTCTTGTAATAATAATCATATGTCAGACCCGAGAGCGAAGTGCGCCGACTCAATAAGAAACCTGGCTATTCCAGCCGCTGATTTAGGGTTCGCCGCACGAGCTCATCCCTTCTAAGATTTCAGTAGCATGCTATGCATGAAGCAGAACGGTACTCAACTATCTTATACAGTCCACTTTTATTGTCCATACATGTTCAATCATTGTCAAAATAAACACACAAAACCACAACGTCTTTATTATCTTTACTCAAGAAGAGAAAATACAACAATCGTAAAATTTCCGACAGTCCGCTGTGCATCGACTTACACACGTCTAGTTTGATGAAAATGGACAGTATATGCACATGTTTTGTGGGATACATGATCATATCGCGTTGTGTGAAATGGAAAATTATTATGTAAGTATCTAACTGTTTTATGGCTTGTAATTGTTTTGTTTTTTCAAATGTAAATCTTGTCTAAATCTTAAAAATTATTATTTTGTAGGTCCTATTAGAAATCGCTGATGTTAAGTTTTACATAAGATGGAGGAACAGAAGGTTAACGGTGACAAAGAAGAGCATGGGTATAAAGTCAATCAACCAGAGGAAATAAAATTATATGGAAAGAAGCTCAACCTTTCTGGGGATGCTTCATTCTTAAGGTGGAAGAGTTATAGTGCAAATTCTCATGTAATACAAGAAAATACGGGTGCATCGTTGCTAAGAAAATAAACTGGACAGTTTTGGGAGCGATTTGTCATCATTTTTAATGCTTAAAAGTATGTTTTATGTATGTTTACATTAGAACCTTAGCTTGTAATTACAGTTATCCAATAAAATTTCTGAAAACTTAATGACATGTTTTTAACTCATACAGAGTATACAACAGTTTAATACATTTATTATTATAAAACTTATAACCAGTACTAGATGTTCTAATAACGATATGGAACACTTTAATAACAGTTATTGCTATTATTTCGTAAAGGGTATAAAAAACGTTGTATACTAGTTATACAATAATTTAATAAAGAATAAGGTTTATAGTCACTATACAACTGTGCTAGCAATACGCGTTTTATATCCAGTATTCACCTGTTTAACTGTCACATATAGTATACAATGGTCTTATAATGGTATATAGAATTCTAATAAAGAATAAAACGCATTTCTTTCAGTGTAGTGTTAAAAAGTCAGTCAAGTTTCGATTTTCTAATTAAAATAGTGTTCCATGTATTTAGATGAATATTAACAAGACAAGAGGTTTGCGGATCATCTATTAGATCCACTACGCTAAGCAGTTCATAAGGTTGCACATATGACTCAATTGAAGTTTTTTTCAAGCCACGACTATTAACACAGATACAAATTTTTTAATTGAAAACATAGTTAAATTTAGTTATTTTAAGTATTTTTAGGACATGATGTTCATGATTTTCATTTAAATATAATTTCACACATTCTCCATATTAATTTTAGATTTGTTTTTGTCACACGAATAGAACAGTTCTCTTGATAAAGCACTAGAGCAATGGTGATTTTTGTATGACCAGAAAACATCTTGTTTAATAAGAGAAAAGAGAAAAGGATTTTAAATAATATATCTCTAAATCTTCTAAATACTAAGTAAAAAATTAAATTTATTTGCTTACACATGTTCGTATTTTTCCTGGATTAAAAAAAATGTTGAGTCGTATTACCAAACAGCAACCGGTCTTTTGTTATAAGTCAAAACCTTTTACAAAATTGCTTTAGTTTTTTTTGTTAACTTGGTCACAATTCGGACATTAGTGATTCAAAAAGACCTAGTTAGCAAAAATCGTAACTATAATAAATTGCAATATATTTGATGTCCAATCTCGCTGCTACTTTTATTCGAATAGTTTTGAGATATTAAGTAATTTTTTCATCAGTAATTATACCTTCCTGATGTGCTCCTGTAGACCAGTGATTCCATAATTCCTTATGACAAACCACAATTTCAAAGAGCGAAACCTCTTGCTTAAAGGGATTTGCCAATGCTGTAAATAAGTTTGTAATTAATTATTTATATTACGCTCAACTTTATGGAGAAATGAAGAATACAAATCATAAATGGTGATAAAAAAAGTTATCGTGAATATATCCAACAAATGGTAAATGTAGCATTTGAATTTAATTTTAGGTAGGTACAAGAGTATTTCAAAAGGTAATCAGTAATCACAATCTTTTGCAATATACTATTCACATCGTTGTACTATTTTAATAAATTACAAAGAAATGCTTTTGGTTATATATTCGACAAACAATGTACTGCTTCTTTAATCTCGTCGTGATTCTTAAATCTTTGTTCCCCATAACGCTTTTTACAGATCTAAAAACATAATTAAAAGAGGCAATATTAAGGCTGCATGAATAACACTAGAACATCTTAAATATCAGTCCGCAAATAGAGCAGAAGTTGCATAGCTCTGTGAGGATGTATGTTTTCACGAAGAAAAATAATGCTTTATGAAACTTCTCTTCAACAGTTGCATACTGTTGACTTTAATACTTTTTCCAAAAGTATGGTTATTGGATACTAATCATGGTTTTGCTTTTCTTTCAATAGGTATCCAAATTAAGTTCTTCCTCATCTTAGAACCTTCCATCGGAAAATTTACAATACAACTTTTGTAATTGTAGAAGGTGTCTGGTATGGATTTCTCAATAGTTGCCTTGGGAAGTCTTAATAAGTCTGGCACCACTTTGATGTGATGATGTGATGGAAAAAGAAGCTAGAAAGAAACAATAATTGTAAGGTCGCACTTCATAATAATGATAATACTCTTTATTTGATTGCATTTGATACTCCTTACAGTACCATAAAGCACTTTGGGAATCTGAGTGCAAGAAGAATAATGTGAATACGGGGAGTCTTGACCAGGACAGGCTCGAGCAAAGGGCACGTTGAATGCTCCTTCACAGAGATTCAACAGAGAACAATAGATCCGAAAAAATCGTAGCATGGTAAAAAATGAGGAAGCAACAACATGAAATTATGAGTGGTTGGAAGACTGGAAATGAGAACAGTCCGCTTTGCACATCTTGAAGTGTGAGATCCAGTTGTCTTTGTTAATCTTTCCTAAATACAACTGAATTAAGGGAAATATCGGCTAGCAAAGTTATGAACTTTGTATAAAGCACAAATCTGTTTACTGAAAAAACAAATAGTGGAAAGCCTAATAGACCTAATATACACCACAGTGCTTCAGGAGTCCGACCCACAGGATGGAAAGAAACAAAATACCTCTCTGTTGGTTTCAAATATTATCAATTCGTTATATTTTTTTGAAATACCCTTTTAATTGTACAATAAAATAAATAAAATGGGTAGGTATATTGTATTCTTACCATATAATCAATAGCTAGACCTAAAATTGTATTAGTTATTTATATTTCGATAAAATCAAATAATCTTCTCACCAGAATACTCATGAGTTAGATAAAGAGGGTTCACGTTGAAGGCTCCATGAAGAGCAGCGCTATTCCTAACCCTAAAATATTTTTTCTTGGTACATTTTTTATTCTTTACACAACACCTTATATTGTTGTCCTTTTTGGTTTGCAATTTCGGTATAAGGGAACGCAAACATATTTACTCACCACATTGCAGTGCAATCAAAGTGGACCATGAGCCATTTGGAAGGGTTGAAGGCAATGGAATCTGCCTTGTGAATGCCCTTCAACCAACTCCTGAACTCGGGACAAATGAAGGCGCTTCCAGCATAGGCTGCGTCCACATGGCACCAGAGAAACTCGTTGTAGCAGATTTCTGTGATTTCTTCTAGGTTGTCAAATGAACAAGATCCGGTGGTTCCCAAAGTAGCGCAAACCTGCATATAATATTCGATAATATTGGAGGGGTTGCATTAAATATTAGAAACTATAACCTGCACAATTTTCTTAACATGTACCCCCTTTCTACAAGGGCAAATATTAAAAGCTGTGTAATTTGAAAGCCAACATAAAAAGTTATCATACGCAACTGACTACTGCAATAGAAAATTAAAATCTATTTTACTGAACAACCACGTATTTTGTCGATATGTAACAAATATACCTTTTATGTCAAAAAATCATTAATCCTTTTTTTTGTAAAGGAATCTTGAAAATAAAGTTTCGCACTACTGTTTTTTTTTGTATTTAAATGAAATTGTACTTAATGTTGGAGTTTCGCATCTTCATGTCAAATTATCAAAAAAAATGGTTTACTTAGTTTCCCTGAAAATGGGTTTAAATGTTTTCACTTCAACACCATATATCTCTGAAACGGAGAATTTTCCGATAAATTGTTTGTTTAATTATTATCCCACCAGGTATATTTTCAAAGTCTGTTCTTTTTTCAATTGTATGCATAGTTGGTTTTTATTCAGTTTTCCTCCTCGTAACATGTATTGGAGATATTTGACCTTGTATATGTGCAGTGTCCAGTAGTGTCCAGATATTATAAGCAGAAAATTGTAGGGATGATTCCACGCATAAATAAAAGGTGTATTTAAATGAAGGAGCGTAAACGTTAACAGATAACCTTAAATGACCTAAAATATGATTAATTGAGCTGAAGTTTGCAGAGTATTTAAGTTTTTGAAGAAACTCACAAATACACAAATGTCTCAAAAGATGGTTGACGTAGATTAACGAAACTTGGGATGTGGATTTTATTCAAAATTGTATTTCGACAACCCCTTCTAAAATTCAAAGTACATGGTTATGTGAAAAATGGATCAGATGAATGTTAATGGTCTCCAAGAGGAACATATTGTCGTGACATTGTCTGTGACCTTGAAAGTTATTTTCAAGGTAATTTCGAGGTCATTTCAAGGTCAGCTTAGTTTTTTTTAAATGGAAACCCTTATTTTGAACTTTACTTAGGAACGCTCATTCTTAATTTTGAATTCGGAAAATGCGGACAATTGTACATGACCTACAAATAAATCGGGGAAAATACCTTGGTACCTAGGTACGTGACCTTGAGAGGGTCAAATGGACCCCACACATCATCTGAACATAGAATTTTTCGCTTTTTCCGAATCCGGGGTTGAAAGTATGGGTTTCCATTCAAAAAAACTAAGTTGGCCCTTTTCTCTAAAATACAATTGTGGATCAGATGAGTTTGACGAATTTCCAAAATAGTGAGTGCCGTTAAAATTCCGATATTTTTAATGACGGTTTCTTGCAAAATCTCCACCACTGGTTGTTATAATCGCATACAAACTCGTCGATCATTACCTTTATTTAGCCAATTTGCCAGTAATACTTTTCAAACTCTTGTAATTTGTAGATAAAGCATTATTAGTAATAAATGTAAGAGAGGAATTTTAGACTTTTGACATTCGGGTCTCAAGATTATTCAGTAGTATTTGTGCTTTAAATTTACCCTGTATAAAGGTATTAAGACCTTATGACACTTTTTCTAAAGCTCATATTAACGGATTCACATGGCTTCATTTGTAGTTACTATTTTACCATAACTTTTTTGTCAGGTGATTCTTTTCAAATATTAAACACGTAAAATTATAACAATGCCAAAAAAAATTAATTAAACTAAAAAACTGTTAATTAAGAAATTGTACATATAACTTTTTATTTGTAGTTTTACAAAAACCTAAACAAATGTCGTGAACAATCTTTGAAAACTGTTCTTTTGTTACAACTGGATAACATTTAAATTTAATATTTTTCAATTACTTTTCAATTCCGTTATATCATTAATTTTAAATTTCACAGTTTTTACAAATTAAACGAAGTAATTAAGGATACCTTAGCAGATATTAATGTTTACAATTGTATAGAACATGTTTTCTTTTTTCCTCAAATCTTGCTTCGCTTCGGTGTACGAGGTCTTATCAGAAAATAACCGAACTTTTTAGAGTTATTTAGTCATATTATTATTGCGTCATCTGCTTTCAAGAATATGGGGTTGATAATAAGGAATTCCAAAGGCTTTATAAGTATTTCTACACTATGATTGCTCTACACCACCTTTATTCGTTCTAAATTAGAATATGTATCAATAGTCTGGAACCCAATTTATGCTAATCAAATTGCAATTGGAAAGAGTACATACAGCACAGGTTTATGAAATCAGCTATGTACTTATTGGATGGTACATATCCCCCTCAGGGTTTTCCGCATGATCTATTACTTGAGCTTTTCAATATTCATGTCCTTGCTAAAAAAAGATCTGCTTTTCAAGTAATGTTTTTGTATAAAGTTCTACATAACATTTTGGACTGTCCAGACGTTTTAAGTAATATTAATATCAAAGTACCACGACTATCAGCTAGAAGTAATAATGTTTTTAATTTACCCACAACACGTAGTAACATCCTAGTAGCATCACCATTGTATCAAATTGTTTCCAAGTACAGTGAGATAGAAAATAATGTCGATCTTTTTTGTTGTTTGGCTAATGATATAAAAAATGCTTGTTATGTAATCATATATGTCTTTTACAGTTTGTTGCCTTTTTATTTTGTTCTTTATACAGGGTGTTCTCAACTATAATACAAACCTGATTTATTGTCATTTTCGACCGCTCCGTTGTAAAAACATAAATTGTTTGTTTAATACTGGTACTGGGTATGTCTTTTTTTTTGTAGTTGCACAGTTTTGATTACGTTTTTCGATTTGACAGTGCTGAATAATTCGTACAATAGTGCGTGATATTGTTTTTGATTTGTGTGTGTGTTTTGTGCAATAAAAATGGCACATGTTTATGAACACAATGAACTAGTGGACATAATATTAACTTACAGGGTGTGTCAGCACAAAATGCAGCCGCAGCATGTCGCTTGTACTCGGAAAGGTTTCCTTTACGAAATCATCCGACTTCATGGATGTTTGTAAATTTAGTTATAAGACTCCGCGATACAGTGTATTTAAAGGAGCAGCGAGGAGGTTACGGTGGAAGATAAATTGTTTATTTACTAACATGGCTCGTTGTTGGGTCGTTTTCGACAATTTCTAAAATTTCTTCCTCGATCTCCATTTTCGCGTGGAGGAGGTCTTCCAGCGTGACCTCCTCGTTGTTCCTTTAAATATCCTGTGTCACGGAGTCTTATAACTAATTTTACGAACATCCACGCAGCCGGATGATTTTGTAAAGGAAACCTTTCCGCGTACAAGCGACATGCTGCGGTTACATTTTGTTGATACTCCGTATAAGTTAATATTATGTCCACTAGTTCATTGTTTTCATAAATATGTGCCATTTTTATTGCATAAAACACCCACAAATCAAAAATAATATCACGCACTACTGTACGAATTATTTAGCACTGTCAAATTGAAAAGCGTACTCAAAACAGTGCAACTACAAGAAAAAAACATACTCAGTATCAGTAGTAAACAAACAATTTATGTTTTTACAACGGAGTGGTCGAAAATGACAATAAATCAGGTTTGTATTAGAAAGTTTTTAAATTTAAATTTTTTTTAGATAATTGTTAGTAACTGCTTTATTTGACCATTTTTGTATAAACGATTTTTGGTATGTTAATTTCTTTTTATGAGTTCTACCAGCTGTTAAAATAAATGACTCAACTTTGAGAACACCCTGTATTTGTGTTTTTTGTAAGTGTACTATTTTTATTTTTTTTCTCTATTTTATCATAGTTAATTTTTCTCTCTTTTAACTTTTTTTATATTTTATTACTAGACTTAACATATCCTGTTATTGTTGGGCATCGTCTGTTGGATGTATATTTTAAATAAATGAATAAATAAATAAATAAGTAAATAAATATGCAGTTGGCAGCATTGCGTTGCACATAACCTCCCCTGTGACTAACATGTTCTTGGGCTGTTTATATCTCATTTAGTTTTCATGATATTGTAATTTGAGTGCAACGCATATAAGTGTGACGATTTTTCAAATGTGCGATTTTCTGGAACAACGAAGCAACGTAAAATTTTGCGTGAAACGGGGCAAAACTTTCAACTTTTGGAACAAGTTTACGGAGATGATGCTCTCGGTCGTACGCAATGTTACGAATGATTTTCGCGATTTAAAAGTGGATGTCAGTCAATTAAAGATGATCCTCGACCAGGAAGACCTTCGACTTCAACTGACGACACATGTTCAGAAAGTCAAAGATATGGTGCGTGCAAATCGCCGATTGACTGTCAGAGAAATTGCAAAAAAGGTTAGCATCTCGATTGTTGCAGCAAAATTTGTTCCCCATTTGATGAATGAACAACAGAAAGAAAATCGTGTGGACATTTGACGGCAACTCCTTGAACAATCCGATGACAATTGACATTCATTCAAATGATCATAACGGGAGACGGAAGCTGGGTTTACGGCTACGACATTAAGAGAAAAGTTCAATAATCACAATGGATTGCAACAAATCTCCACTCTCCATGAAAGCACTCACTCACTTTAATGCAATTGTGCATTTTGAATTCTTGCCTTAAGGTGAAACAGTGAACCGTGTGTCAATCAAGGCGTTTTACAACGGTTATAAATCCGCAGAGAGAGACTAGGGTTGTAGCGAGACAATTCATGGTTCTTGGACCATAACAATGCGCCCGCACACTCAATTGTCAATTCGTCAGTTTTGTGCCAAAAATCAGATTACTGTCCTCTCTCACCCTCCATACTTGTCAGACCTGGCTCCTTGCGATTTTTTCTTATTTCCGATATTAAAATCAGTGCTGAAAGATGCCGTTTTCAGGCTATTGATGACTTCAAAGCAAATTTGTCACAGAGTAAAGGCCATTTCAAATGAAACTGCTTCGCGAAATGAAAATATCACTGGGAAAAGTGTGTACATTGAAGAAGGCAAGGACCAATAATGTATAAAATTAATAATAAAGTTAAAAAAATAAAGGTCGGTTATTGCCTGAACACACCTCGTAATTCAAAACTCATAAATTTTAACTATTTGTAAAGTTGCCTTAAAATATTAAATACATTTTTTCTCGAAAACGGTTGATGATATCTATGTGGAACAAAAAGACTTCTTTTAATTATCTCTTTATTTCAAGTGATTAATATAATTTAACAAAGTCTAAAAATGTTCCTAAATTTCTTTCAAAGGATTTAGAATTTAACGAAGCTAAAGAAAGTATTCTTTGATAAGCGTAAGCAATTATCTAATAATAAATAAAAAATAAAATATATTCTATTATACTGTATTAATCCAAAACACATATCTGTCTTGTTGAAATGACCAAATAGTGTTCAAATTATGAATAAATGCACTATTTTTCCTCTTGTGAACTTTTTTCTGAAAAATTATTGGCATTATTTCAAAGTATAACAAAAAAATTGTGTTACAAATAATGCGGAAACCAACGCAACGCCCAGCTCATTTTGTGAAGTAGACATAAATAAATAGCTGCTGTAAATATAATTAATCAAAGAAAAGCAAACATTGTTTCACGACAATAGTCTAATCTTTAATTGACCAGACGTATTTGTTTCGGTTAACTAAAACTCTCATTCCCACAATTCCTGCAATAAGGAGCTATCGAGTACGGCACAAATCAACAGTCCGGACTAATTAGCCCATTGGGGTTTGCGGCTTAACTTCCCTATCATTTTAAGAAGATTCTTCCAATTAGTTATTTGTGAAGAAACAGCACCACTAATACATAACAGTAATCCTTTCTCTCGACAACGTTTTACTCACTGTCACAGAAAAATTATAGCGAGTGGCCAAGGAATTTATTCTAGATAAGAAGGCGTCATTGCGATTGTTGATTTTTGGATTGTTCAGAATACTCCAATTTTAGGAGGTAGTTTATTATTTCTTAAAAAATATTGGTTATTTTCTCAATTTTATATAGTTGCATTATTAAAATGTAAACTATAAGTTTAACGAAAAAAGTCATTTTGTAGGATTTCATAGTCCAAAAGTGATAAAATTTCCAGCCGGTTTTATATATTGTATTTGTTTTCCAACACATCTTAATATGACCGTTCATATGCAGAGTGTATCCTAAATCTATGTCATAAATTAAGGGGGTGATTTCTTGGGCCATCTTAGGCCCAAAGGCCTTAATAACCCAGGGTCCTAAAGTTACTGGTTTCAAAGATAGAGAGCGTTAATGTTTTTGAAAAATATCACATTTTTTCAATTATCTCTGAAGTTGTTTGACGTAGATTGACGAAACTTGGGGAAATGATGTAACTAATTAAAGGTAATCATTCGGTATATTTATATATAAATCTGTCAACCAGTGGCGGATATTCAGGGCAGCTTTGTCATTAAAACCCTCAGAAAAACTGCGCCACTGGATTTTCATAAAAATTAATAGGTTTGTCAATAATTCTATATTGAAAATGTATTGTGTTTGTTTGTTTAACACGCAGAAATAAACAGAATAGTTGCGCGGTGAACGCCTTTTAAAAAACAACATTGCCTTCGTTGCAACATCAACTCGCGACCATACAACGTATAATATACGCAAGTGACGCATATTGAAATCAGTCTGTATTCTGCTTCTCTTCGTAGCGTTGTTTACAGCGGTTGTCATGGCAACGAGGCGGTCAATACGTGATTAAACTACGGCGTGGGGAAACGAGTGACGCAGAAATTGAAGCAGCATCGCCCACCGCCTACCTTTAACAGTTTAACAGCACACGATTATAACGGTTCTTTGTTAATATTTGTTTTGTATAATAATTACAGAAATGTTTCCTATGTATGAACCAGTATGTATTTTATTGGAAACACCATTTTCCAGATGGAAAATTGAGGACAAAAAGGATTTTTTAAATTCTCTCGATATGGAAAAAAGGGGAAGTCAAATGACAACGTGTAGGTTCGAAAGTTTCGGAACGAATGGTATTCCGAGTTTATACATTTAAAAAAAAAATTTCTGTATGGCATGATCAATTGTGGGTGCAAAGTCGGGCGTGTGGAATAAAAAGGGATTTAACAATTTTGGGAACGTCATGCAAGGTAGTCGTAACCACAAAGCTTCTTTGAAACATACATGTACGGTGTGCGTTAATGTTCGCAGAAGTCCACAAGCCGAATTAATATTTCCATTTTTTATAAAATCTAAATGAAAATCCTTCTCACGAACGTCAGTTTTTCGGTAATATTGCAAATGCAACTAAAAATGTTCAGATTCATTTAAAGCCGTTTGACCTTGAAAATTTGAAAATATTCGCCAGCGGCGCTTTTTTTTCTTAATGAATATGCTACACCTATTCTCAATGTCACGAGCCGCCACTGCAGCCAGGTAAAAAAGAATTTATATATACATAATCAAAACATAATTTGAAAAATGCATTTGAAAGAGTTCAGATACTTACCCAGAAAGGGATTAGTCCGTTGTCTCTATCTTCTTTCACTGCTTCCAGCAACTTCTGGCCTCTCATCGACAAATTGTCATCGGTCTCGATGTACTTAAGTGTGACTAAACCTATAAGAGCCGCTTTTTCTACGCTGGAATGGGCCTGGTCGGAACAATACGCTACTAATTTTCCATTGATCTCATGTTTAGTAGCCTCGGGAAATAAATCTGTGTACATTTTGATAGCTACGTATCTTCCGGCGAGCAGACTTATGAGAGTACACTCGCTTGCAGTTGTCTATAGCAGGAAATAAATAAATGATATTTTAGACCAAAAATTTTTATTTTTCCATCATTAGAGAGTCTAATCCTTTAAATTGTGTAAACATAATTAGGTTTTTTCACGAGACAAAATATAGAAGTTCTGTATTTAAAATAGGCGAATACTTTTCCCAACAAGGAAAAATCTGTGGCAAAAGACGTCTTAATAAATTTGAACTTTTATCAACATTGTCAAAAAGTGGCAAATATGTTTGTTTTCCAAGATAAATCTGTTTATAGTCTGATAATATTTTTAATAAAAGTGTAGGATAATATTTTCGCAAAATATATATGTAGCTATAAACATTGTTGTTTAAACCTAACAATTTACCTGTATAACTCCCCCACCACTTCCTCCTTTTCTATGAAGAAATTCTTCTGGAAGACCAATCATTTTCCCTAACCAATTCATCACAACCATTTCTAACTCCGTACATGCTGGACTAGAAGCCTAGAAATAAAATAGAATTTAAAAAATTGTTCATATAATATCCATTTATGGAAATATTTACTTAGGGTGTAATTGCTATGCATAAATTGCAAAACTGTTAAATGCAGTTGTCTATCATAGTACTTAGCTACATGTACAAAATTTGAGCAAGAACTGACCAATGGCGTATAAATTCAGAGAATTGAGGTTGGTTTTAACTGTCAAAAATAGTTAGTTTGACGTTACAGAGAATCCTCATTTACTCATTTGGAAAGTAGATGTCTAATGAAAGTTCTTATGCTTCTTGAGTTTTTTCGAGTAAAAATCTAAAACTAATATATTAGAAGCTAGTCAGCAGCAAATACTTCTGACTTCATTCGATAAGCACTAAGTATGAATTTGTGAAAAACTTTAAATTGTACTTATTTCCACCCATGCAGCGCTGTTAGCGATATAATGTTTGGATTTGTAATAGTGAACGCATTGTTTAAAAAAATATATGATGAGAAAAATGAGAAGCTGAAACTTTCGTGCAACGTCACTGTTACACTTTACATTAGTAAGGACATGTTCCATTTTATAAAAATTTTTTTGCTTAGATAACTTGTAATAGACTTACCCAAGTAAATCCTAAACAATTGATAGCGTTGGTTAACATTTCACCTAACATGGAGGGGTAGCTGTTCAGGGCTGGAAAGTAAGCGTGCATATGAGGACTTTGCCAATGTGTCACTCCTGGCATAATGACAGACTCCATATCTTTGAAAATGTCGCACCATTTTTCGCCTTCTATGGGAGCGGAATCTGGAATCTGGTCTTTGATGAATCCTGGTTTTTTGTCAGGGAATACTCGTCTGTCTCGTATATTTTCTAGGTAGTCTACAATGTAATCGACCACTTCTTTTCCTGAAGAAGATTATATTGAATTTATGCAACATCTACACTGAAGTTTTAACAAAAACTGCCTGGTCCAAAACGTATTAAAACTAGATATACATAATTCAAGATATTAATTTTATGAGGAACTGAGGAAGAAAGTCAATATTAAAATAAAAGCGACAATCATTAATATTAATAATATACTGAAAATTTAAAAAATAATCAGTAAAAGCAATTGACTAGTTTGACTAGAAAAATTGGAAAATTAGTCTCAAATGCAAATTTCTGGTCTTAATTCCTTATTACGACCCTCTTCTCTTAACAATGGGTAATATTAAATTAATTTACTTAAATTTAGTTTATATGCCATTCATCTTAATTAAAATAATTCATTATCAGAATCATCAGGATCATTAAGGTTATCAAATAAATCGGGATAGAAGAAATCTTTTGTATTGTCAACAATGTCAACATAATTCCATAATTTGATGAATAGCTTCCTATAAAACACATGGTCACTTTTATTTTTTCGTTATGAAGAGCTTAACTTAAAGCACCCCAAAAGTTTACCGAAATAAACAACACCAACTTCTAAAAGTTCACCCATACTAAGAGCACGAACAGAATATTTAAGCTATGTGCCAAGATATTCACTGTTACTATGCAATCGTTGTATGTACAGCACCTAACAGTTAAAGGAATCCATTACATTTCCGACGTTCACATTGAAAATATATATTTGAATGAATCTCAAATAAGACACATAAACGTCGGTTTAAGCAATACGAATTTTCCAATAGCACATGCAACTTTGGTTTATTAAGCTATAAAAGGAATTGGATCTGACACAAACGTTCAAATTGTTTCCAATATAGACTGATTTTACAAGAATTTACTTTCTCTAGTGGATTTATAGAGAAGCAACACATTGAACCGATAATAAAAATTTTACGTAGACATTTAAATGACGGTTTTATAGCAGCCTTTAAAATTTTGTTTAGTTCTAAGGTCTGTAAATTAATTTCTTTTTATTATAATTTTTTTCATATTATTGTGTATTCTTTTGGATCATTTAATGCTAGTTCTTCATTTATCTCTAAAATTATAATGAAACAACCTTATGCATAATAAAGGAACAAATTTCACTTAAATAGATAATAATCTTACAGCAAACATAATATTTACAACTTCGAGCCTCCCAAAATTCAGGCAAGATTTGAATTTTTGCACTATATTTGCAGTAAAGTGTGGCTAATGAAAAAAAAAAGAAAGACAGCATGATAGCTGATAGTTATAAAAAATATAATGCTATACGAAAGAACAACTCGTTTGCATTGTTGAGCAATATTTTAAAAATAATGAAAGTTTGGCAGCTACAGTTCGTAATTTTCGTACAAAATTTGGTCGGAATAGTGATTTAACTCAATCAACAATGAAGGGATTAATTGAAAAATTCAGGGAGACTGGATCAATAAACACTCTGGCCGTCGTTCAACAGTTTTTTTTACCCAATTTGCAATACAGGGTGTCCCGAAATTCATGCAACAAAATTTGGTCATAGATTCTTAAGAGAAATTTAGGGGACCCATATTTTTTCTTTTTGCCAACTGACCACCTCTTTCGGAGTTACAGCCCCCTGAAATTTGTCCCAAAGAAGTCTTTTTTATATCTCAAAACCATATTGTACGAGAATCACTAAATTTGGTACACAGGGGTTTTATGACATGTGGAATCTCACAATGCTACGCTTTTTGGCGAGAAACCCCCTTAAGACACTTTTTCGTGGGCCCCCCTTGTCTTTGGAACCAGAAAAATTTGGTCGCAAATTTGATTTTTTTTTAAATTATTAGTTAGCTAGAAAGCCATTGAATTTAGAAACTTTTTTGTCACTCGATATTTGTTTCGTAAAATGCAATGTTTTTGAGGAAAATGGAGAATCACGATATGCATTCGATCACATTTGGACATTTTTCTCGAAAACATTGCGTTTTCCGAAAAAAGTATAAAGAGACAAAAGGTTTCTAAATTTAATGCCTTTCTAGTGGACTGATAATTTTTAAGAAATTTAAATATGCTACCAAATTTTTTTGGCTCCAAAGAAAAGGGGGTCCATGAAAAATTGTCCTAAGGGGGTTCCTGGCCAAAAAACATGGCACCATCACATTCCACATGTAATAAAACCCCTGTGTACCAAATTTAGTGATTCTGGTACAACAGGGTTCTGAGATATAAAAAAAAAGATTATTCTTAGGAGCAGACTTCAGGGGGCTGTAATTCCGAAAGGGGGGGCCACTTGGCAAAAATAAAAAATACGGGTCCCCTAAATTTGTTTTAAGAATCTGTGACCAAATTTTGTTGCATGAATTTCAGGACACCCTGTATATGGATGTGGACATGCTGTTTCAACAAGACAGTGCCACATGCCATACAACCCGAGAAACTATTCAATTACTGCATGAATCATTTCCGGGTCGTGTAATTTCCCGTTTTGGTAATCAAAATTGGCCGATATGCTCTTCCTATACTGTATATTTTATGAATCAACAAAAAAATACAATTTTTAATTAAAAATGTTATATCTATTAAAATTACTTCTTGCGTAAATTTTGGTACACCCTTTATAATAAAAATATGCTAAATTAGTTTTACCTTTCAATCTAAATTCTTTGCCATCCATACCTAAAACAAGAGGTAGAAACTTTCAATAATAAGAAATACATATTTTGTATATACAGGGTGTTAATTAAGTATGTACAATTCAACATACGATTATTTGGGTGATTTTAAGACAAAAAGTCCATATAAACATTGGTCCGCAGATGCTTCGTTTTCAAGATAAGAGATGTTAAACTTTTGTAAACAAAATTGCTATTTCGTAAATATCTTAAACATCCTTTACCCAATTTTGTTGTAATTTGGCAGTGTTACTTGTAGCGTTAAGGGGCTAATTTAACCCTAACTTGATTAAATTTATTAAGTCCAGTGGCGTCCCGAGCGGTACCTTAACGAATATTTTTTGACAAAAAAGATGTACGGCACTGCCTTTTTTGTAATTTTTGTATATTTTTTTAATTAAGCAACTAAAAATAAAACTTTTTTTGTCTCTTGAATATTTTTCGTATCTTGATTAATTTTTGTAGAAAGAAAATAAAATACACTACAATATCAACATTGTGATTTTAAAGAGTGATTCCTATAATTAAAATAAACAAAATTACAATTTTTTTCTGAAACTGATCTGAAGGATTTCGAGATTCGACAAAGATAAGATATCAAAAATGGTTTGCATAGTTACTCAATATGGTACAGTGCGATTTCCTCATTGTATCAACATATAATATTAACAACACTTGTCATAATCAGAAGGAATTTGAAAAGATTGATTGGACTGTCAGAAATTCCAACCCCTCTTAATTCCATTGTCACAGATTAGTTTATCTTGAAATTTTATTTGAAAGTAACTACTATAGAGGAACTTCACTATATCAAGTTTGACATCTTCAATTACTTTTTATTCATTTATTTACTCATATGTATAAGAAGAATCACTCCCTAAAATTGGACACACTGCCGTTTTACACTCCGTATAAAAAAAATATTGGTAAACTTAATTAAGGTATTTTGAAGAATTTTAATGCGAATTTTGAAAAAAAAAACAAATAATGAAGCGAATAATAGTTAACAAAAATTCTCCTAGTCTGTAACTAAATAATTTGCATGCTAATCTAGTTTATCGATTTACATACATTACCTAAAAAACTGTAAGTTTTAAGTCAATGAAGACATCGGTAAGGTTTCAGGTTAGTATTACACTTTATGAGCTTTTTTATAAATCCATTATGTCAATATAGTGCAGTAGATATCTTACAAAGTATAACGATAGTTCTGAATGTTTGTAGCACACTAAGTATCCTTTTGCAATTTATTATTGAGGCTATATCTTTGAACAACTACAGTTTATCATTTTCTTACTTACACTTACAGATAAATCACAATACATTATTTTGAAAATTATTACAAGTTACTAAGAAAATATGTTTTTATTATTTATTTTGATGTATATTATTTTTATTATTATATTTTTTTATTTTTTTGATCTCTACTTTGTTTGCATAGCTTTTACCTTTTCAGTACAAATTAGAAATATGAATACCTACGGTTAGATAAATTTATTATTCATGAGGGTGTTCGAAACGGAGGTACTTTTCGACTTATCTAGATATTTATATTAATGCTCTAAATTCTAAATTATTTCCTGATATTTTTAGGGTAAGTAGTATATATAAAAAATAACACTTTTTATACAAACTAACTAAAGAGGATAGTGGATATCATATTTTTTTAGATATCCTAAAAGTCTTTCAATATATCTTATTCGTATTTTAAACTAAAATCGTGCATGTTGCATTAGTTGTAGCCTTAAGAGTTATTTTTGTTTCGTTCTAAACAATTTAAACAAAAATATTAATCTAGAGTACAAAAAAAAAACAAAAATACCCTTCAGTCAAATGTTTACATATGAGAGTGCATAGCGTAATACTTTCCTCGATATCAACCGCGTATGCATTGAAATGTCAAATATTTTGTTTCATTTTCATAAAAGAGGAACTTTAGTTCTATTATCGCTTAAAGAAAATAATAATAATAATTTATTTAAGCAACGACGTAACTAAAGCAGAAAAATGGGATAAAAATCAAAATGTAAGGAATAGAATAGTTACACTCTGAAACTACACAATTAGTTAATTCATAGGTATCTCCTTTCAGGAAAAAGTTTACACAAGAAAAATATCGAAGAAAATTTCGTGGAATATACTTTTTCATTTTCGACACATTATTGTGTTAGACCCTATAAGATTACGGTCAGTAATAAGTACTAGGTCATATTATTCTGCTAAGGTGATACCTGCATCTTACATACTTCTTAGGAAAAAATAATAATTGAAGTTATCGAGAGTTGCTGTTAATTTTGTAACTACTTGGTTTCGCGGACTATAAAACGTTTTCATCTTCTGAATTTTTCTATAGCTAGAGATCATATAATGTTTATTCTATTATTACTTGCTTCATCTTTTGGAATGTGTATGATACCTTGCCATCAGTCAGTGTGGCACAAATTGAAGGAAATTGATTGGTTATCTATGGAAGACAGAAGTTTGTTACATAGCTGTTCCTTATATCATAACATTATATTGACAAAAACACCAACATACCTGTCTGATAAAATAGTAGTTAGGTATATAATGTACATATAAATGCGGGTATCCATTTGTGTCAAATGCCCCGTAACGTAACACCGAACATGTTACGTTACAGCCAGTGGAGACGGAAAATTGTTGCATGGTGCGTGTAACAAATTTGACACGCGTAACTAATCCGGGACGAACCATCAGTTGTCGGTTTTTAGTCGTTGCATCAAAGGAATGCAACAGTACTTTGTAGTATGCAGTATGGTGTGGGATCAGTCTGTTTTCTGCAGTGACTAGAAAGAGTGTGTTTTCTGTGTTTGTGCCACGGAGTGGAGTAAAGAAAAGATTTCCGGAGCTTTCCGTTTCTTATTCTTCAAAATTGTACGATTAATAAAAATATATCACGCTGCTGCTAACTGCAATTGCAGTGACAAATCCATTATTGCAGTCAGGTTCATACTGTGAGTTTATGTTCCTGTGTCGTCTCGTAAGCTTATTTTGTTACGTTACGGAATGAATGATACGACCAAAACCGCACATACTTTCGCAGCGAACCATGTCACCTTTTGCAACAGGCCGTAACATGTTGTTACGTTACGGAGCATTGCCACAAGTGGATACCCGCCTTAAGAGACACTTGATATAATATGAAGCTTCATCTCCCTAAACACACAACATCTATGTTTAAAAGATCTTTTAGTTAGTGCGTCTACAAAATTTATAATTTAATTCCAGACAATATTAAAAATATGCACAAACTACATTTTAAGAAGCATCTAAGCATTTATATTTTCAGGTGAATTTAAAAGAAGTACTAACTTCTAAATAGGCTGATCTACTATATTTATTTTAATATATTTAATTTAATTTGTTATTAGTAAATATTTTTTTACTAAGTAAATAAATTTAATTACAAAATAAATTTCACCCTCGAGGCAGAAGGTACCAATGGCTAAGTGTAAGAGTGGAAGCACGATTTTGTTCAAACAGTCTTTAGAAATACTGAAAGGAAAACAAATTTTGTTAGACAGCAAAAAGATAAATTATGTATGTAGACGATAAAGGTTCCATATATATTGAACTATTGGNAAATTTGAAAAACACTTTGGAGGGATAAATGTGCATTTTTTGGAGTGATTCGAATATTTCTACACGCAGCTTTAAATAAAAGATTAACAAAACCTACAATAAAATATGTTTTATATTTACGAAAAAAAATTAAACCATCAATTTCATTACGAATTAATGGCGGATTTCTAAAAAAATATCAAAACGGGAAAAAGTCAGTGGTGCACCATTTTTTTTATTAAAAATGTTTATGGTATTCTCGCAGGAACGCCACTGGTGCAAATAGAAATATTCGCATCACTCCAAAAAATGCACATTTATCCTTCCAAAGCGTGTTTCAAATTTCGGACCAAAATGTTTAAAACTCTGAAATAATTAATAAAAATAAATAAAAAATTAAATTTAAACACTATGTATCTCGGAAACGAAGCATATTTCGACCTCCGTTTATATGAACTTTTTTTTCTAAAATTAACATTGGCAACCACCCCCTAAAATATTTAGCACTTATTTACAAACACCCTGTATATGCGCTAGCGTAAAAATAAAAAGTTATGGACATCGAATAGGACAGACTCGAGAAAAAGAATAGCTTTAGTTCTGCTTTTTATTAACTACATAAATTTGTACTAATCATAATATACATTTATTTGTTTTAGTTTAACAGCAAATTTGAAATTATTCAGAAACGGAAATGTGTATTTTTTCTATCCAATGTCAGACCTAAATTACCGTATTCTAAGTATTTCAGTTCGCTAATAAACAAACATCAGCAAATATACACGCAGGCAAATCAACTCACATCAAAAATGCATTATTTAGTAAATACAACTATATGTTTATACAACTATTAAATGGCTGAACTTTCTAATCGAAAAGTCGGCTATATTGTTTCTGTTAATAATTTTTTCTTACTTACAGTATTACTATTAACATATTTCTCTTTGTTTCTTTCCCCTCTAAATATCTTGTATCTGCTATGTCTAGTTTATTTGTAAAATATTCCTCTATATATCCTTCGATATTGAAGATTTCCATCCCCCATGTCTCTTTAAGGCAATTAAATCTGCCCCAGTATTAACCAAAATGGTCGCAATGGATCGACGGAAACAACGTATTGTGTATTTATTTGCATTTCGCAAATTAAAAATTTTGCGATAATTTATACTAAATCATCTACAGGGTGTCCCGGAAAAAGGTATACTTGTTGAATATCCATAAAATAGATATTTTATGAGATAAACCCGTTTAAATAGGTAGGTACCATATAATTTGAGACATTTTATTTAATTGAAACACAGATTTAATCGTGGTTGGCTTTGACATGTCAGAGTAAGCCAAAGGCAATTAAATTGTCAAACTTNTCTCTAGTACGATAATAGTTTGATTAAAAGACAATTGTAGGCAATTATAGTTGACGCAATGTATTGAAATTAAAACAAAAATATTTTCATTTCTTATAGATACACAATTTTTTTTTTTTTCAGTGAATATATCTGCACGTAAAATGGATAGATATATTCTAAAATTGTTATTAAAAAAAGAGATACTATGGTACAAGTAGTAACAAACGATTTTTTTAATCGGGTAAAACAAGGTCACCAAATCCTTAATTTCATTAGAAGTATTTTATATTTAAATCTGAATCAACCGAACGGCTTAACATTAATCTACTTACTTTGAAATCAACTTACAACACGCCACTCACACTGCAGTAAACAAACTGAAGCCAAATGATATCAACAAGTAGTGCCCCGTGCCTTATATATAAGGCTTCCCTCCACCTTCGTCCTGTAAAATTTTATCAGGCTTTCCGTTTATACAAAATCTATAGCTTATTTATAATACTTTTCTGTGCTACTGAATATTTGGATATACAAGTATTTCCAAGAGAAATTGCCCAGTATCACAGAAATGAGGAGCTTTTTGCAAAAACCAATCCATTCTCTAAAATTTGTGGGAATACTGGAAAACTATTACTAATTCAATTAGAGCTTAAAACACTGGACTGGTTTCGTTTTGTTCTAATTAAATTTTAATTACGTAAATATAAAATAAGAGTCAAAAGGGTTGTAATTTTCTTCTGTAACCTGATTACTTAAAGATCTCCAAATTGTTTATTTATAACATATTTAAATATATTCATGTATATGTACAAAAATGAAAACAAGAATATAAGCATTATTTTTTAGAAATTGTTTTACTAACCCTATATTTAAATTTGCAACAAATAGATAAATTAAATAAGTAATAGAAAAATGGAGCAAAAGACATTAAACGAAACTGTTTTGTGTCTGCCGTTCATTTATAATATTTGTAATGTAAAAATCATATAAATAATAGAACTATTATAATCTGCCCAAGGTGATACGGTCACTTGCCAAATGTTTACCAAAAGTAACACAAATTCAGTATGGAGTGGATGACTACGTTATCGAAAATGTGAATATGTATTTACTAGCATACTCACACTTGTCAAACGTAAATAAAAGCCCTATCTTGTGTAAAGTGCGTATCGAAACATTATTTTATTTGAAAGGCATTAGATTAAATGAAATAAATTCAATTTTTTTTTTTCTAAAAATATCTATCAAATGAAGTCAAGCAATGTTCTTCGATAGCAAATATCTCGGTATGCAAATGTAAAAAAATGGAAAAATCGCATTTATGTAAGAAAATTAGGAAATAGTGATATGAGCATTAATGTTTTTTCATTCTACTATGTTACATACAATACAATTGAAAAATATTATTTTATTTAACTTATTCTAATACTGTTGGCACCAGTTGTAAAACTATACAGGGTGTTTGTACATAAGTGAGAAATATTTTAGGGGTGGTTGCTGAAGTTATTTTGAATACTTAGAATACGGTAATTTAGGTCTGACATTGGGTAGAAAAAATACACATTTCCGTTTCTGAATAGTTTCAAATTTGCTGTTAAACTAAAACAAATAAATGTATATTATGATTAGTACAAATTTATGTAGTTAATAAAAAGCAGAACTAAAGCTATTCTTTTTCTCGAGTCTGTCCTATTCGATGTCCATAGCTTTTTATTTTTACGCTAGCGCATATACAGGGTGTTTGTAAATAAGTGCTAAATATTTTAGGGGGTGGTTGCCAATGTTAATTTTAGAAAAAAAGTTCATATAAACGTAGGTCGAAATATGCTTCGTTTCCGAGATACTGAGTGTTTAAATTTTAATTTTTTATTTATTTTTATTAATTATTTCAGTTTTAAGGATATTAACCCGAAATTTGAAAAACACTTTGGAGGGATAAATGTGCATTTTTTGGAGTGATTCGAATATTTCTACACGCAGCTTTAAATAAAAGATTAACAAAACCTACAATAAAATATGTTTTATATTTACGAAAAAAATTAAACCATCAATTTCATTACGAATTAATGGCGGATTTCTAAAAAAATATCAAAACGGGAAAAAGTCAGTGGTGCACCATTTTTTTTATTAAAAATGTTTATGGTATTCTCGCAGGAACGCCACTGGTGCAAATAGAAATATTCGCATCACTCCAAAAAATGCACATTTATCCTTCCAAAGCGTGTTTCAAATTTCGGACCAAAATGTTTAAAACTCTGAAATAATTAATAAAAATAAATAAAAAATTAAATTTAAACACTATGTATCTCGGAAACGAAGCATATTTCGACCTCCGTTTATATGAACTTTTTTTTCTAAAATTAACATTGGCAACCACCCCCTAAAATATTTAGCACTTATTTACAAACACCCTGTATATGCGCTAGCGTAAAAATAAAAAGTTATGGACATCGAATAGGACAGACTCGAGAAAAAGAATAGCTTTAGTTCTGCTTTTTATTAACTACATAAATTTGTACTAATCATAATATACATTTATTTGTTTTAGTTTAACAGCAAATTTGAAATTATTCAGAAACGGAAATGTGTATTTTTTCTATCCAATGTCAGACCTAAATTACCGTATTCTAAGTATTTCAGTTCGCTAATAAACAAACATCAGCAAATATACACGCAGGCAANAAAAAATATCTATTTTATGGATATTCAACAAGTATACCTTTTTTACGTAAAATACCATACATTTTTATAAAATGATGGAAAAGGGGTATAGTGGAACAAAAATTTTTTTTCTAGAAATTTTGGTGAGGGGGTGCTTTGCCCCCGGGCCCCCATAATTATTATCGAGGATTTCATATTATCATCCAAAGCAGCTTCAAAAATTATAGATCCAGCCAAAAAATTCTTAAAATTTTTTGAAAAATACAAAAGTTACAGCAAAAAACCATTTTTAATTCTCAACTTCAAGAGCTAATAAATTTTATATGAACTTGTGACATTATTTTCTCATTATCTATCCATATCCGAGAGATTGCCCACCATTTCCGGGACACCCTGTATATCTTCGAATAGTGATGGAACATATCAAATTATTTTCTTGTTGGAATAACGTAAAATCTGACACACCTTGTATTATATAAGCAGTGTTATTCCATTACTACTATTTGTTGGATTCAATTAACTCTTACATCAATGTATCCGTGACATTATAAACTGTATCATAGTACAGAAGAGTCGATTTTAATAAAGTTGATTTGTCCTGGTTTTGCAATAAAGTCTTCAGTTAGTTTTTAGTTATAGTTTTAGTTATAGTGAGCCTATGAAATTATTTATATTGACATATCGTAAGTTACAAATGTCAGATTAACCTTAAGCCAATATATTACTATACTTAAAAGTTAAGCAAAAATGGCTTTCATGCAGTTAATAATGACCGCTTCAAAACTGAACAAGTTGAAACAAGAACTGGTCGAAGAAAAAACTGACGCCATCAAAGTTTCCAAGAAACTACCAGTCAAGAAAAAGTTTAGGCATCGTATCATCAGGTTACGAATGAGGACCAAGAGGTTCCTGAAGAAAATGTTAGGGTGTTTTTTCTTTGAGAAGTTTTGTTACACATTGCGCCATGATGGATCCTGCGAAAATTATACCCTGAAGAGTATCGCCGGATTCGTCTCGGGCTTTGTTTTGACCTACATATTTTTCATGTTTTGTATGTTCCAACTTAATTTCACATTACCAACCGCTACAATTTTTTGTTCTATACTGGGGTGCATATTGATGCTTGGACTAGCTTTCAGTACCAAGGTCAGGTAAGGTTACGTACATAATTATTATTATGGTTTTTATTTTACAATTACTCGAATCAAATTTGTATTATTATATACAGGGTGATTCAATCATAGTGTCATTCATTTTAAGGGAAGATACGGAAAAATGAGTAGAATACGAATAAGCGTTTAAAAAAGTTTTGAAATGCATATTTAAGCTGAAAAAAAATATTTTCAAATTATTTAAACCCTTTTTCGGACCGCTCCTGACCACTAACCTATAAAGGTTTCTCGAGAGTGAATCTGGACCCACCGTATTCGGTAAGTGTTAATAGTGAATGACAAAAACATACCTTTTTACCTAGACACATAAATGAATAAGGAGTTTTTTACATTCTAAATGTTTTACAAGTATTATTTATTTGTTAATAAAAACAAATATATAAGAATAACAATTGTTTTTTAATGTTAGGTTATTGTTATTACAGTTTAGTGTTTTTAATATTGTTAACGTTTTCACTTTGTTTTATAACTGAATATGAGTTTTTAATTAATTATTTATTTTGTGCTGCACTTTGATTTCGAAATTAATTGCAAGACGATTGGGGAAATCAGCTGTTTCGCTTCAACGTTTGAACGCTTTATGGTACGCCGATGCGTTCCCTGTCAGCAAACGTGATGCAAAATAAAGCGCCGACGACGAGGATGACTACGACGACGACTACGATGACGATGACGCCGACGACGACGACGACGACAACGAAAACGATAACGCAAATAATAATAATAATAATAATAATAATAATAATAATAATAATAATAATAATAATAATAATAAATGGTCTTTATTTAA